TATAATGAAGCTGAAGAGTTTGTTTTTTTGTTTCAACGCACTAATCTCCAGAACCACTGGTTCAAATTGAATAATTCTTTTTGTTTTTGTTAGTACATTTATCGAGGAAGGTTTAGGGCTTTGGATGATTTGTAGGAGCCGAGCAGTGATAAGTGTGGGAGAGCCATGCTTCGGCACGAATGGGTCGGCTCGACCGGAGTGATACCACGGCCTCACAGTAAACCGGCGTGAAACAACCACAGCGTTGTGTTTCGTCGTGTGAGTGAGGTTACCGGAGGCCCAATCCTTCCCCTCCCCTGATCCTTCCCCTATCCCTTAATCTCCAAAACCCTAATCCTTAAGAGGTCGGTAACGCACTCGTAACTCCTCCGTTGCGGGTGTCCATGGGCGGCGCTGATTGCTTACCATCAGGTAATCCGTCTGCTCGTTTGCCGATCTACTACATAAAAAAGTGAGTGATACCGCGCGACAGAAGTAAGCAGATTATAAAATCTTCAATAAAATATTCAATACTGGCTAGTTTTACAACATAACAAAGCTAGCCAATAAAAACGAGGTCGTTGCTACAAGATAACAATATTTTATTGAATAAATTATTATAATAGTTATAAGTTATTATAAAAATATAACAATGAGTATTTATTACTTAGTAGTAGCAAAGAAGTTATTGCAAATAATTTATAGTTTTATGTAGAATTTGTATTATTTTTTCATAGAGTAAATTTTGTATTGAATAGGTAAATTGCATTACTATATTATTAAGTACAACAATTTTTATAAAGAAGTAGTAGATGAAAAACTTTTTCTATCAAATTATACTCAACATATTATTTTTTTACTTTGTATTTATGTATTTTTATGGTAACAAAAAATAAAATGTTGAGAGCTTATCCGTTGAACTCTAAAAAAAACTTTTTTTTTTGCTTTTAAAAATTTAATCCAGGTTTCACGTTGTCTTTCGTCCTGCTCTACCTACTGGTATATGATACATGGTGTTTCATATAAAAATGGGATAATCACCCCAGTTGTCGCTCCTCGTTCTTTTAGACTCGGATTAGCATTGTTAATCGGAAAAAGTCTCGAACTCAAGTGATTTTGAATCCGACTGTCGAGTATGCTGTTTCCATTTTCGAAAATTTCGGTAATGTCGTAAATTATAGTTTGAAGAATACGGTTGTTTCCAACTAGTCAAATTCAATACTTTATCCAAATGTCAAAAACGATACTTTTCTATGAAAATTGTATGAAACATTGAATTATGACGTCATAGCATTTTTGCGTCAAATAGCTTACTTATTTTTAAAAAAATAGCTAAAAAATATCTAAAACTTAGTGTATCGATCGATCAATGAATAAAAGTATAGTTATTTTTCAATATTTTATCGTGTTAAAACGTCGAATTAATTTATTTTTGACCTAGGAAACTACCCAATTGTGTCTAGTTCTGATTTCAAATATTGAATATACTTAGTCGGGTCATAAGTTCTGTCACAAACTTTTGATGTAATAACTTATACGCCTTTTGACAATTATTTAAAAATTATATATGAAATGAAAGGTCATTAAATGTACAATATAATTTTATTTACATTATTCGAAATGCCCTCCCCCATTTTGAACACATGCCCTTAATCTACGCGGCCAGTCATCGATCGCTGCACGCACCACATTCATATCTATGTCTGCCGCTGCTTTAACCAGAGATGCTCGGAGAGACTCCAAATTCGGGTGAGGTTTAGCACAGACTTTTTCCTCCAAATATTGCCATATCTTGTAGTCCAGTGGGTTTAAATCTGGACTAGAAGAGGGCCAGTCTTCATGCCGGATGAAGTCAATTCCACGAGCGATCAACCAGTCTTGCGTACTTCGTGCCTTATGAGCCGGTGCAGAGTCCTGTTGGAATATCCAATGCCTGTTCCTGAACATTGTCTGAGAAAGAGGTTCCACTATGTTTGTTAGGACAGTATTTTGATAAACTTCGGCACTAGTTCTCACACCTTTTTCACAGAAAAACACCTCAGTTACGCCTGAATATGAGACTCCAAGCCAAACCATGAATGAGGAAGGGTAATGCCCACGCTGGACCCTCGCAATACGCGCGCTTGCTTCTTCACTGCTGTGGGCATACACCTTATCATTTTGTTTGTTAAAACTTTCTTCAATAGTAAAAATTTTTTCATCCGAAAAAAGAATTTCGCGGTATTTTTTTCCCGCGTACCGTCGTAGCAAAGCGCGGGATGTGTCTAGCCTAATTTTTTTTAAACGCTCGTTCAAAAAATGTCCTGTCTTTTTACGATAAGCTCGTAGTCCCAGGTCTTCATTTAGTACTCTTTTAACAGTGGTTCTGCTTAGCCCCATCTACAGAGCTAGGATTTTTTGTTTACGTACGGGATTTCGTTCGATTCGCGCCTTCACTGCTTTGATGACCTTATGTGTCCGAACTGTGCGAGGTCGGCCGCTTCTCTTACGATCTTCGAAGCTTGACTCTTCGGTGTATCGTTTGATAGTACGATAAACAAACCGTAACGTTATTTTCAAATTTTGAAGAATATTGAAAATGTCTTTTGGCGCGTAACCACAGCGGTGCAACGCGATAACCGCGATTCTGTCTTCTTTATTCGACCACTCCATATTTAAAAATGAATAAAAAATAATTTCTTTTTTATTTTCTACAAGCGCGAAAGTTCTATTTTTAAAATAAGTCGAAGAATTTCTGGCCAGTAATCGAAAATTAAAAATATAAGGTTTTGACAGAACTTATGACCCGACTAAGTATAACTGGCGAACACTCGAGTACTTACTATCCTATTTGTGATATGACAAACGTATACATTAAAAATGAGTTTTACTAAAACTACCAATAAAATATTTTTCCTTCTTCCTAAGATAGCGTGATCGTAAGAAACTAAACGTAAACGGCAAAAGTCGAAACTTGCTTAAAAAAATGAACTGATAAAGAAGGTGCTTTGGATAAGAGGCTTTCAAAAAAAGTGATATTACTTTGGTAAAATGAATAAGATTCTTCGTACGTAATGTACCCCGGAGACTAAGGTAAACTCATTTCCCTAATGCATGGGGAATAAAGCAATTAACCTTTGTATGTTATTTGAAGGTCACCGATATGTATGCATCACCCATCTTTCTTTTATAAGCCTGTAGTGTTTTATCTACGTCAGCAGGCCGTCTAGGTGGAAGTATTTTACGCAAGAATCAGGTAATGATTTTTTTTGCAGTGTTCTTTCATCGACAGATCAGGGTCTTACTGCGTAAATATTTTTAACTCAAAAGGGTTTAGCCGAATACTTACCAGAATAGAGCAATATTTTTCTGTTTCTTTTATATAATAGGGTGTCAAACGAGCTGACGGATTACCTGATAGTAAGCAATCAGCGCCGCCCATGGACATACCAGAGCTGTTGCAAGTGCTTTGCTGTTTGGAAATAAAGGGTTTAGGGGATAAAGGGTTAAGGAGATTGGGCAGAAATACAAGGCATAGAAGTATTGGGCCTTTAAAAACCTCAATTACGCCAGTATGGACTCCTACTCATACGTTGTTTCATGCTGGTTTTAAGTGAGGCCGTGTTATCACTCTGGTCCCATTCGAACATGCTTGCTACTACAAGCATGGTTCTCCCACATACCTCCTTAGCTGTTCCTCGTAATAAGTTTCAACTGTGCTGGCTCTACTTCGACTTGTATAAAGTATAAAGAAAATTTGTTCCCATGTCTATTCAACCCTATCAATGAACAAGAGACTCAAATTTACTTCCCTTATCGGTAACCAACAACATAACAAAAAAATTAGCTCTAGTCGTATTAAGTTTTCAAAATCCCTTGAAACTGAAACTTCAGTCGTAGCCTCAGGGTGTGAACGGAGACACCACAACTGGCTTCATGAGAGAACCTTTCGTAAGTTTGCCCGCCTTACAGATCCACGTGTGCCACAAAGTTTCAAGCCGGATATTGTTCAGGAGATTGCAGAACTCTGCTGAAAAGCCCACTAGGGATCGTCGCGGATATTTTGTTATTTTAAATGCCTAGCAAATATATGGCTATTTTTATAGTCGGTATAAAGTGAGGGATCAGTTTACATATACATTTGATCTCAATGAAATTGTACGCCGTTGAATATTGGGATTTTGATGTCCGTTTTTATATGTACTTTGACCGTGCTTTTTTTTGGGTTTTATTGAAGTTGTTTTGTTTTAGTGCTGTTTACTAGGTGCGTTGTGAAGAGGTTTATTTGCTGATGTTTTTGGGCATTTTATTAGTGAAGTTAATGTTTGTTAGTTGGTATTCACTAATAATGCATTCGAATTTTAAAAAAAAATATTTACACCCGGTTTCCGAAAGGCCGATCAATGTTAAAACCAATTTAATCTCTTGTCAAGTCATCTGATTGGTTGACTGAATTATCAAAAACCAATTAGATGACTTGACAATAGATTTAACAGGAGATTAGTTAATTTTAGCGTTGACAAGCCTTTCAGAAACCAGGTGATAGACAATTTTTATCCTTGTAAATTGATCGATGGAAATTTGTTTTCTTTAGATCGGAAGAAAATATAAGTTCGAACTTATTTTTTTTTTAAAGATGTGAAGTATGAGAATAAATAAAACAGTTAATTCAGTAACAACAATTATTTTATTAATAATACTTGAAAACGTTAGTGATTGAACATTTGAAAGGTACATGTTTCCAATATTTTGATAAAATATTCAGACGTTACAAAGTTTGTACAAGAATTCTGAATACTCTATAAAATAAACTTTTACATATATTAGACTTTCAAAGTAATCAAGGACTAAGTTATTTCTGTTACTTACACGCTATTATAGTTCATTAGTAATACAAATACATTAAATATTCATATCGTTCTACGTTTAGGAACCATATTTGTTAAGATAATGTTCTAGCACAATTCTCTCTTAAAATAACTTTCTAAGAACACATAGAAACTGTGATGCCTTACAATAATTTTTAAGTCCAAAAACGAAAACTAGACTATAATACAAACAAACAAAATTAAATTCAATTAAATCTTACTCAATTAACACTTAAAGTCTAAATAATACAAGGACGGCAACACCTTTTAATTATTCACAAAGTTTAACTAGCTTTAGCAAAAGTGCAGAACGTAATATGCAACTTGATTAATAACGTTTTTGGGTTTACTCACGAAACTAATTTACGAGATAGCTTGATTAGTTTCAAGCTACTACGGGGCTCTAAGTAATCCGAAAAACATTATTAATAGAATTTAATTAATATACGTCTCATGAGAGTTTATACAAAAACATATAATTTGCTTTATAAAAAAAATATGTAAATTCTATGACATAACAATGTGTCATTTTACTAAAATTTAGCTCTGATGTTACATAGCGATGCTTCTAAGCCTGTGTCGTACATATGTATGAATCAGACACGACTGTACTCGTCTGTACAATGGCCCTTAGAACTACTACTTGGGTTTCCGCGACATTGTACATTGTAAAGTCGCTTGTACTATCCTCAAATGCATTTGCTTTCAAAGCTAACTAATAGATATAATAATATGTATATACTCTAAAGGCGCCCACGAAGAAGGTTTTAGCTTTCATTCCAGAAATGTTCTCAATATAGTAACTATAGTGGGATATATTAAGTTTGTTGTTAATAACGAACCACTTACGTGAATGAACTGCGAGCTCAAATAGTTTCAAGTCACAACAGGACTCTTATTCATGAACATCGTAAGCATAGCGGTGTCGCCGCGCAGTCGATAAGCTTCCCGGTGTAACTTGAAACTAGTAGAGCTTCAGCTAATTCACGTTCACGTGAGCCGTTATTTTCAATATTCTTCTGTATAGATATCACGGGTTTTACTTGTAGACATTAGCTCAGTCACTTCTAATGACATAACTGGACAAAACTGATCGTCAGAAATATCACTGCCTTTCAAATAAAAGGCCTTTTTACATGTTACGCTATATACTCCAACCTTGTACCTAAACTCTCAAATAATTTGTTCACTGATATAACCAAACGCCCTAATTCTGCTGAACCCACCATCTGGCGCCATCGTTACTTTAATGTGTGTGATGACATCCGATTCACAGTCGAACCAATGCTCATTATGGGCCGATAGCTGTAATTGAAAATGTACGAATAAATTAGATTTTGTTAACTCAACATCGGTTATTGTTTTTATTGGGTAAGTTGTTATATTTGTTTTATTAAGATTGGTAATAAAAATGTAACACAAAATGGGAATAATTTAAATCATTATTATGTAGAAAGATACAAAAAAAATAAGAGTAGTTTTCTCATTATAAGTCAAAGACTGATCCTTTCCAAGCAATTTGCAAAACACGTATCGAGTTATGGAGTCTTAAATATTTGGTTTGTATAAAATAAAAACTAAATCTAATATTATTTTGAGTCATTCTGAATTTAAAATTAAATTACATAATTATGAAATTAAAAGAAAAATTCTGATAAAAAATCGTCTTTACCTTACTAGGCTTCAAAATATTATGCCAGTTGGCGTCAATTTCTGGGTACCAGTCGCCACGGCCCAAATACGCCCCCTCAATCTTCACGGAGTCAGGATAATTGCCTTTAAAGTGGTTGGTGTCCACACAAATTTGCTTAATGTTCCCCGGGAAGCCCAATTTGAAGACCGCCCATTCTTGACCTTTGTGAAATAATAGAATTGTTAGAATTTACAAATCGTTTGACTTTAATTGTTTTGTTGGGAAATAACTAGTGAGTGCTGCGTTTTAAGTGTGATTTTCTGATCAGACGGAATATGTAGAGACTAGAACTAATTTTTTATTGAACCTCGTCTTTTATCTCTGAAGGCAGAAGTGCATATAATGGCACATAAAATTACGAATCCATGTACCCACGTAATAGGGTGGGGGAATATCATCAAATGACTTTTCTCGCCCAGGGTAAGCGGAATCTATTATCAAATACAATTACAGAATCTATGATGGCACTGAATATTTTCGGAAATCCAAAAAAGACAATAATAGTTCTATACCCGATTCGAGATTCAAACATGAGAGCCATGGCTTAAAAGTCACATTTGCAAACACTCGACCAATAAAGCATTTAGATTTGCTACAATAATACATGAAATAATAAATTTTGCATTATGTCGGTAACTATGTGAATTTCTGAAAATTAAGCTCTAATGTTCTATTATTTTGGTTGCAAATTAATATTCTACCTACAATTAGAATTCTAATTACACTAAAATACATATTGGATTTCTGGCAAAATGCTAAAATTGAATTAGTTTTGTAATTCATTACTGGAGTTCAATTGGCGTGTGAAATGTTTATCAATGTAAATTTGAATAATTTCTAGCTAATAGTTATGTTAATGTATATAATTTTATCAATGCAGACCATGGAACTTCAGGTAAAGTTCCACAAAAGAGCAGACAAAATAATGCATTGGTGCATACAGAGAAACTGAGTATAGATACGGATAAACATAGTTCAATAACAATGGCATTGGCAGTTTGACTACACAGATAGTAATTCTATTTAGTATAAACTATTATGGTGAGAAAGGAATTTCAAATAAAAAACCGAATAAACCATAATATTACAGATTGTCACGTCACTTTTGGAAAGGTCAAGTACATATATGTATAAGTTTGCATATATATACATGTACGTAAATAATAATAACTTCTCACCAGTAAGTCAATTGCCATAATAAACTGAACAGAATTTCACACCCCAAACTACTTTATATAGAGAAATGATCCAATAACACTTCACGATACGGCTATCAAAGTCAACAACTACTTTTTGGCACACACGTGCAACCATTCGATCAACGAAGCTACCTAAATTCGTCATATAGCTAGATTTCTATTCCATTCACTGTACCACGGGTTCCCAGACCTCTGGAAGGCGTACTAAAGGCCGAAGCTAACTAGAAGATGCCCTTTGAACGTTAAATGTTAGTGAAATGGGATGTAAGCCGGCAATCATCCCACTACTAAAGCACGCACTATGAAAGTGCATCCAAGGACGTTCCCCGATTGATGCAAGACTAGGTTGGGTAGCTGTGGATTGGTCGGCATAATAATACAGTTAGATTATTATTAAAAATGACGCTTATTACCTGTAGTCTTCATAGTTCCATCATCATTAGCTTCTATGATGTTAGGCCTGTCCAATCTTCTCGCCGTCTCCCAACCGTCAGACATGCATTTCCCCTTTGAAGGCTTGATTACGTTCTTTGGGTGGCCGTAGTGGGCATTTGAAAAACCTGCGAGGAAGACAAAATAATGTATTTTTGTACTGTTCTACAAACGAACTCCGTGCATACTTAAACTGAAGTACCGTTCAAAAAGATTTAAGAAAATGCAAAAAAATTAATTGAAAGTTTCTTAATAGGATGATGAAACAAAATCAGTTATTCACTCTCACCCAATTAAAAGAGTTTTGTAAGTTATTTCATATGATTTTTCAAATCACTAAACTGTTTACTGAACTAAAATATCAACGTTAATCCAATTCGAAGCCAATAACAAAGTGAACACGATTAAATTAATTTGATATTCCCATTGTACGCTTCAACACCTGTGATATACACGTGGTTGCGTTATTACCTTGGCAAGCAGCGCCATTTAGCAGAGACACTAGGTCTATAATTTGATTTCTCGCAGGCGGTTCGGGTTTCGCTTCTCCGAACACCCTAAGACGAGCTATCCCTCCATCCGGATAAATGTTCACGCGAATATGAGTCCAAGCGTCGTCACTCAGTACCTAAAACAAATTAAAAATAGCAAAAGTGTAGTTCCATGTTTTAATTCCTCAGACTTTATTCCTGGATTTTTAAATTTCACTCCAGTGTGCCATCATTTAGCGCTAGAGGCGAGAATGTGGCGAATTTATTTTTAAACTTTCTATTTGAAATTATGGGTTTTGTTTTTAAATATTTTTTGCGTGTTTTTAATTTGTGTTCTGTGTTAGTACATTTTAAATTATGCTTACACACACTATGATTAGATTTCTGTAATAAAACTGGGTCTAACTGCTAAACACAAACCAAGCGAACAATGACTTGTATCTTTTTAAAATACAAGTCAAACTCACACGTTCCTTCTTTGAAAAATCTGAAGCTGTTTATTTCATAGCGATGTTTTTAAATGCCCTATTCCATTTGGTTCTTCAGAATGCTGCCGTGTGATGAGTTTTCAACGTCCAATCGGATTTATTTTAAAAGTTTTTGCACTACAGACAGAAGTTCCATCCGTCTTATTTTCAGAAACCCAATTTAGACGAAGTGCGATTTCGTAAAAGTTGCAATTTGGAAGCGATGCAATATTTATGAAGGGATTTTTATAAATTGGTTTTTGGTTGAGAAGTCTCAGATTTGTTGCTGTGTTTATTTCATTGATAAAATTTCGCGTCAAATTTTATCATAAGAACAAATTGATGTGTCTTGAAAAGAAATCTAATTTTATCTTTGTTTCGAATTTACGTAGCTAATCCCTAAGTTTTTCTTTTGCAAGATAAAATATTATATTTCAAATGACCTACCTTCTGGAAATTAAGTCTGGTTTCTTCATAGCCCGGCCGCAGGGCTGTTATGGGCACTAATTCATCCCATTTGTCAGACTTAAGTCGTTCGATATGTTTCAAGTCGAATTTGTTGCACGCCGTACCCATTTCGGAGATCCTCTTTGGTATCGATTCTTCTTCTGTGAAAGTAAGTTTTCTTTTGTTAGAATGTTTTTGATATTTATTAAGGTTTTTTTCGTCTAAATGTTAAATATAGTGGATGAAAATAATATATACAAATATCAATTATGTTTACATACGGTAATTGATTTGTTATAATGCAAATAAAGGTTAAAATCACTTGCAATAATCATTTCATGTCTTTTTCTAGTTTAATTATTTGTTCTTTATGCATAATTAATGGATTGTGACATTAAGAAGACAATGTTGCCACAAAGTACCCTCTCGTATAAAAAAATATAGAAAACAGTCGAATTTGACAATGTAAAATTAGTATTAAATTAAATTTAAGTACCCAATTAATTAATTGCAAAAACAACATTTAATACTACAAACGAATTTTGAATGTAACTCTACATTCCTACCTCGAAACGGTAGCAACTACGTACACACTAAGAAACAGGATAGAAAATAATTGGAACAAATATTTTCCCTTGATAGTTTCTTCAACAACTTCAATAATAGGTATCTGAACACCAATAAAGAGAATCCTTGGTAATGCTACTTATTAGCTCTCAAGGGCTACATAGCGTCCTTCTGAACATTATACGTAGGTAAATGAAAGTAAACTTTTAAAGACTCCATCTCCCTGGAGTTTCCAAACGATATAATACTGGACTACTGGACTTTCCTCGCTAGGAGCATAGAAATATATATGTATATCGTTTGTGTGTTAAAAATTACAGCAACCTCTACATACGGAACTTAAGAAAAAGGATTTGTATTTGAATTAATCCTTATCGTTTCTTAAATTATGCCATCTTGCATTTATAAGGAGTAAGCGAAAGGGTCAAATGTATTTTGCAAAAATTCCATGTTCAGTAATTTAACTATACCAAAACCGAACTCATCCAGTTAAAACCAAAGATCTTTTATAACAATCCACCCAGTAGATGAACATCCGCAGTTCCCTATGATTGATTAGGTACCAAGTGGTACTTCCAAGATCTTTCTTTGGCAAAAATAACGAGTGTCCAGTAAATAGCATTGGAGAATTGCCAGGACACGCCTCATTGAACTAGAACTAAGTGCTTTGAGAGTACTAGGTAGGTATAAGTGCTACTGTAGAGTAAGTTAGGACTTAGGTAAGCGTGCTTGGATAGATAGGTACAATATTTTTGTGGGAAGTTTGTAACTCGAGTGTTGTCCTTTTAAAAATGAAGAAAATATTATCTTTTTGGAATAACATATTTAGTTTTATTTATTTGTAATTAATACAAAGGAGGATTATCGATTATATCGATATAAGCGATTTAGTATTATTATTTTCGACAATCTCGTTGCTTTAATGATGAAGTTAATAGAAGTATGCTTTATATTGTATTCTGAGTATTGGTTGAATGATGGTTTTGTTTATATGCTATCAGCTATAGATTGAAAATATTTCAAGAAAACCTAATAATTGAGATTTGCTGTATCTATAAAATCAATTATAACACGTTTTCGCAGAAACATCTAAATTATTGGAGATTAATTGTATTTGCTTACCTTCAGGGGTTAAGCAGGCAGCCTGTATGGAATATTTCGGTGCATAGTTTCCAGTAAAGAATGCTGTATCAACGAGTAATCCTGAAACAATGGATAAACATTTTATATTTTGAAACCATATAATATATTCGTAAGAAATTGATAGAAAGTCATGTTATACGAAAAATTAGGAACAATTCGTTATATCAAACAAATTTCGACCTTAACTATAATAGTTTAAGATCTGATGAAAATTTAAATTAGCCTGAACATTACCATTTTTAAATTTATTTACAAATAACTACAGATTTGTAGATTGTAATAAAGTTCAATTGTAAATTAAGGTAATTATTATTTCACTTAAACAATTCGCCAAAAATAATCAATTCAAAAAAGCTATTCACCTAATTCGGAACAGTAATTTCTGAGTTACGCGCGTAAAAACAATTGAGTGATGATACATTTTTAGATAGGAGACAACATTGGTACCAAATGTTTATCAATCAAAAATATAAATAGGTCATTATTACTTATTACATAACAAAATCGTTATCTAAATAAACAACAAACAACTTTTTATACAATTACAATAATTATGTTCCTTATATCTGACCTCTGTTGATTATTTTGTGTTGCTATGAACTTGTAAATGGGGTTTGTGGAATGATGATTCTGGACATGATATTAACACTGTATGCATTGAGGCAATCATAACTTGGAAAAGTTACTAATCACTGGTAAGGTGGAAGGAAAGAGACCTAGAGGCAGAAGTCCGATACGTTGGACGGATCAGATTCGCACCACTCTCAACACTACAGTCCACGATGCTCTCCACTCGGCGGCAGATAGAAATAGATGGCGGAGAGTAATACGCAGTACACTGCTTCCACGAGGTGGTCACGACCCTCAGCACTGAGGAAAACGACGCGAGGAGGAGGAGGGCATTGATATTGTGACTTCAACTACGTATGACTTTTGGACGAATTTTCTTCAAAGGAAATGGATTTCTACGAAGATTTTTGAGTTTCCAGAAAGTTCTCTCTCATCTAAATTATAGAGGTGAAGAGATTGTTTGATTGCTTATATCTCCGGAACTACTGGTTTAAATTTAACAATTATTTTTGTGTTGGATAGTATTTTTATCGACAAAGGCTAGAAAGCATCACGCTACATCCAATAAAGGCCGGGTGGCGGGTGAAACCGCTTTGTAGTACCTAGTATTACATAATTATTTATAAAAGATGAGAAATTAGCAAATTACCTAGATAGTCTTGTGAAGTTTAAAAGGTTTAAAGTTAATTCCGTAGGCACATTGTTTAATTATATGTATGTATATTATATATCAACATTGTTTCCGTAAACAAAATACTTAATATTCGTTCGATATCTACTATGAAAATCCATGTGAGTATTTTCGTGGAAAGAAGATTACTGTGTTAAAACGTTAAAATTCTATGTTATAAAATATTATTTTAACTCGTGTAAGGTACATAAAGATCAAAGCGATATTGCGAGAGAGAGAGAGGGAGAGAGAGAGAACGAGAGAAAGAGAGAGATAGAGATAAATAAAGATAAAGAAGAAGAATTAATTAATTTCATTACAAACTCTATTGGACGCGTTTTTTATCACTTTATAACAATAATTGTATAATGAATATTGCTTAGAAAGGCTTAGTAACTAACGATCAGAACAGAGCAATAGACTAATAATATAATTATTATGTCTTTAAAAATTATTGACACTAAATTCAAATAGGAAATTCACTTTTAGTCGATTGAAAATAAAGACTCAATTATATTAATTAACCGAGAAAAGCTGTACTAGTTTCAAGTCATGAGCCGCGTGAATGTTGCGACGCGCAAGTCAACATTTTCAATAAATTTTGTAGATAGATCGAGACTTTCAAAAATTAAATCGCTTTTGGTAATGATGAAACAATCATGAACTGTCGGAAAATCATAACATTAATAATTCTTTTTCGATTTGTAATGGTGGCAAAAATATCTAATACTAGCGGCCCCCGCTTCGCACGGGTCCAACTATCTCGCTATCAAAGGTTCACTTTTTCCTAATTTCTTCTTCCACTCTACTTTTCTAATATTTTCTTTGATAAGAACCTCCTCCTGACAATAACAAACACAACAAAAAAGAATTAGCAAAATTGGTCCAGGCGTTGTTGAGTTATGCGCTTACCAACACATTTTGCGATCCATTTTTATATATAAGAAGATATATAGAAGATTAGGTACTTACCGCGCACAACACATTTCGTCGCCAACTTCAAGATGCACCAGTCATGGCCAGCGATCCTTTTCCTCCGGGTCTCCCACCCATCCATCCATTTGCCGTACTCCGTGTACTTATCCTCAATGAATATTGGTTCACTATCAGCTATCATGTTCTCACATGTTGCAAAGAAGTCGTCCGTGGCAAACACTACTTCTCCGCCAGACTGTTGGAGAGAAGATTTTTGATTTAATATAGGAACATAGGTCTTAAATCTAAGGATCACTGATGAGAAAATTCTGTGCAAGTGATGAATATGAATCTTGTACTTTTCGGGAATGTTTAGGGTTTTAAATTAAAGTGATTATTTTCCTATAATATATTTTACACGTACCCGATTCGTTATTGAATAAAAAATAAATATTATAATGCATCAAGCTTATTCATTTTAGAATTAATTTAGAAATAGTAAAATTACCTTTAAAAATAGAGCAAGACCTAACCGATATCGTACTAAGCACCTAGCCAATAGATTTTTTAAACAATACATAACAATCAAAATGAAATAAGGAATGTCCAATTCAACTTACCCCAAGACTAGCGAACTCGCTCAGCTCAGCAAACGCCGGAACTTTAGTTTCGATCATCTTTATGCTTATATCACTTAAAGAGTAACTCGCCTCAAAGTCAGACACACAATGATAACGATTTGTCATTTACTCCCCGTATATATAGCGTTTAAATGTAAATAAATAATCTACAGCTATATATAGTAACACACCACTATTACACTAAATATATCCAGTTTTTGCCCATTGTTACGGTTTAAAGTCGATCGTTAATGGCTGAAAAAATTTGCTAATGTATTGTAGTTAAATTAGTTTGTGATTAAAATAGATTTTATTGATCGATTCCGTTTAGATTGTAATTGGTGATATTTTTTGGGAAATTAACGGGAATTAAGCAGGTATCGGATGAAGAAGCTATTCTAATTGTTATCGAGATGTGAGTTTGAATAGGCAGATATGCTATAATGTTCTGAGTAAAACAATATTTTATAAAGTATGTTAAAGAAAATGGATTATAGTTTAATTTTTCATTGGATATTAAAGAAATGGTAGAACACTTATGTGATAGAATGATATAGTATGTAAATTTAAAATGCTATTAATTATATATGCTTGCATACAGAAGAAGACTAGTTATGTTAAACATATAACTTTCAACAAAGTATTTCCATGGTACTCATATGCTTATAAAATTCATATCACACGATTAAACATTTAACTCCTAAATTACCTCATAAATATCATAGAAATAGACTACAAAAACCAAATCACCGCCAAATTCTTCATTATATTCGTGGGAAAATATTAAAGACTGTCTGTCTTAGGCTGTTATCAGTAGAGTATAGATGACGGTACGAAATGAAGCATACATTGGGGAAACGGCATATCTCCGGCACGTGCATGACATCCTGGTACTTGGCACGATGTTTATAAATGCACACGTGCTTTCATGGATGAAATTCAGTGTAATATTGGCTTTACATTTTTCACGGTTGGGTTAAAGGATAAGTTTATTGACCTCAGTGGTATGCAGTATTGTTCGACTCGAAACTTTTTCAGCGATGTCGACTCAACATAAGATTCAAAATAGTCGGCAAAACATTGCAACATATGTACTTTTATTTTTATATGCTGAATTATCATTCAAGTAGGCATTTGGCGCCATCCATGGGATATCCATATCATTATTGCGAGGCTCTGGTATTAACCTGGTTTCGACAGCCTATTCGTGCTCAAGCATGGCTCTCCCACGTGTTTTTTAAAGTCGTATAGAAATCATCTATTTGTTAATATCTTCATTATTTAATAACAAATTATTAATCATTGTTTGATTAGCATCAGAAAAAAAAATTGAGAAAAAGTACCTATAATCTTCTGTTAACACAATGGAGTTTAGTCAACCCAAATGAATCATACGCACGAATGCACACGAACAGAAAACAGTTACTCTTTCCGTAGACAAATCTAGAACACACCACAATCTATATCGGTTGGAAAATTTTACCTTTTTCATCCTTTAAAATGTTTAAAGAAAAAACTTAATTCAATAAACCAGAAATAACCTTTTGTAGCGCTAACCGCAACGAGGTTGTGAATTGTGATAAAAAAAAATAAACTTAATACTAACAAAGGTTTGAATCGGTCAATAAAAAGTATCTTATATAAAATTACTTAGAAATAGACAAGTTCTAAAAAATAGGTTGCATTGTTGATTTTAAAAAGTGGCCAGTAACATTGACCATTCTAGAATTTTCGAAAGGTCATTTTAAAAAAGTGTTCTAGGTTTGATTTAGTGCGTTCCTGGAATCTATTTGATGTGAGGAAAGTACACATACACACACAGATTTTAACGTAAATATGTTGGCATACGAATTGCATATTTTTTTTAAATATATTTTTCAATATTTGCATTAAAGATGTGTTTTGAGGGATTTTTGTAAAAACTTTTATTTATTACGTAATAACATCACAATAAATTGGATAAAAAACCATTTTCATTTCAGAAATAGGCATAATTTTTTTTTGTTTTATTATTTGCAATCGGTCTAGTAGACTATAATCAAATTTTTGCTATTATTTGGAATTTTTGGTGAGTTAAGGCCACTGCCTTTAACACGTTAAAGGTAAGGATGAAATTAGCCGATCCATTTGTTGTTAGTAAAAGTTAGTAAAAACCACATTCTGAATACAAAATTGTAACGATTTACACCTATGTGTTCCTACGTATCCAGTGAGTTAGCACGGAGCTGTTCCACCTATCACACAATACACACATTCTACCGGGAATATAAGCGCACCATTTCTATATTATTATAATGGCATGAAAACCATCAACCTTGGCTTCAGTGAACATCCCGGAATCGCTACAAAAGCGTGGTAGACCCAACAGAATTCTGAACTGTTGCACTGAACTGCATTGTTGTACTGAACACGCAGAGCGTTTTATGCCATCAGCATTTATCTAACCTACAGACATGTTACTAAGTCAAAGTCAAAGTCAAAATCATTTATTCCAACTAAACCATACATAGGTACTTTTGAAACGTCAAAATAGAATAGTAGTCTGTCAGTCTGTTCGTCAGTGAAGCTAGGTGCTCATTCCAAATTGTTGATTTGAATGGAGAAGAACAAGCAAGAAACTCCACCGTTATCATGACTTTGTTCCTTTTATTCAAGTATCCTACTTCCTACTCATTTTATAAATGTGAAAGTTTTTGAAATGTATGAATGTATTTTTGTTATTCTTTTACGTAAAAACGGCTTCACCGATTTGGTTGATATTTGATATGTAGACAGGTCATACCCTAGATTAACAGATAGGATTTTTATCAACATACCACCTGGGCGAAGCTGCTGGCAGAAGCTAATCAAAACTAATATTTTAAATACGAAAGTAACTTTGTCTGTCCGTCTCTATGTCTGTCTTTTCTTCACGCTTAAACTACAGAACTGATTTGTGTGAAATTTAGTAAGGACATAGTTTAGAACTCTAGAAAAGACATTGGATAGTTTTTCAACCGAAAATCTGCAGGACGTCACTATTCCACGCGAACGATGTCACAGGCAAAGATGAAGATGATAAAGATGTTATTACCTTCACTGGTTCAAAGCACAGAAACCATAACGCCATCAAAATGTATCGTAAAATGTGTTGATTTAGAATCTCCTACTTTCTTTTTCGGTTTTATGTTTTTAATTTTAACTTTAGTTATGTTTTTAATCGTCCTACTGACTTTTATTATGCTCAAAGCGTCTCTTAAATGTTTAATAACTGTATTTTTTGATGCAAACTTTTTTGGTGCAAATTTTTTTGCTGCTTGTAATAGTATGTATGTGTTTTACACACAAGTAATTTGATTAAATAGACGTTAATAAACCAAATAAAATAATGACAAAGATCGAACTAAAATTGTACCAGCGGAAGTTTTATAAATCGAATTTACCTTAATTTCAATGCAATTCGATAAATCTGTGTGTGCATTCAGACATTGTCTTGTCCATAAGTTGAGTTTTAAACATTGATAAGGTACTCGTATTTAAAAGAACACTTATTAACAGAATTAACAAAATATAATTAAGGAACATTATCAACTTCTTAATGATCGAAAATCATCATTATACCTAATTAAACAGTTTAGTGAATGCATACATTATTTAGTGAGCTAGACAATGTTCTTCTATACCAATTAGTTACACGTAAAAATTCTCTAACAACATGTTAAGCAGGCCTAATTCATAATATATCAATTAGGTATACAAATCTGATCTTCTATAGATGCTATAGAATTTTCTAAATATAATTGATTTTACTTACCTACGCTTTAAACGCAGTAGAAGTCACCTAACATTGATCACTAAAATCACTCATTGGTAGACTGACTATCATTTATTTAGGTTAAAGGTTAAGTCCAGTACAGATCTTAACCGGTTACAGCCACGCGCGCCAAGTCACTGGGTCAAACCGACCGATAACGACGGCAGACATTTAAGCAATTATTCATTATGATGATAAAAATAATAATATAAATATTTATTTATTATTTTGATCTGTGCTTGTGGAATAATACTCAATATTGTTAGTTTCCGTAATATATATGATATGAGACCGTGTCTTTTTATTAATTAAGACTGAGACATATGCGCATTGATTGACCATACGTAGAAAGGATAAATTTGCTGATAAAGCAACTTGAATAACTTATGTTTGTTATAACTAACACAGTTTATGAGTTAATTGAAAATAATGACGTTTCACGATAGTTACTAAACATCTAATATGGGGTTTATTAGATTTAATTAATAATAATACTCGATTTGAGAGCATCGCCAAATAAAGAGCTTGTTTCCTCCTTAATACAATTACAATAGAAGTCTTATAATCAAATGTACTTTTAAAACATAGTCCGTCAGTCTGTCCGTTTAGTGAAGTTAGGATCAAGAAACTACATTGTCAATATAAAAGAGGTAATGTAAAAAATAGCTATCGAAATCTTGGCAACTTCAATATCTACCTATTCTATAGTACGTACAAATGCACTTGAGCCAGGTCTTATATTGCATTCCCAAATTAGTCAGCACAAAAAAATAAAATTATAATTTTTAATAAAACTTATCTCACCTTCAATTATTGCAACATAATGAAAATATTATTTCAAAATTTAATTGATGTCACACGTGTCGAGTCGACAATACAATACTTTTCATGTACCTACAAGAAATATAGCTTCAGATGCGATAATCCCCCGTGAGTTACAGTTAACATAGTTAGCTATATAGCTAGGTAGCGTATGTTATGCATTCATGTCAATCAATCTGCACCACCGCATGTGATTAGTTCTTTGACTGTTAATAGAACAACGTTAGGTGCACAGACAGCGGAGTCCCAGTCCTTCCGCCTCTTGCGATTTTTTTTTTTTATTTGATAGGACAACAAACGAGCAGACAAATTACCTGATAGTAAGCAATCAGCGCCACCCATGTACTGCCGCCATGCAACACTGCTGGAGTCACAAGTGCGTTGCTGGCCTTTTAAGGAATAGGGTTTCGGAGATTTGGGAATTGAGGAGGTAACCTCACTG